ATTATTTTAACAGCTTTAGAGATAACATTAACAGCTGCTGAAAGCAGCTTATCTGCAATAGTATCACTCTTGTTTGGTCACGTCGTCATTTGCTTCCTACTAGAAGTTCGTATTTTAGGTCTGCCTACATTCGTAAATATTTATATATATGTATATATTTTCAATTCAAATTTCAATTTTGTTTACTTACATATTCTGAACATTTGCCAAAATTTGGCTATACATCATATGACTTGAGAAATATAAATCTATAATTTTACTCAGATACTTAAAACAAATTCTGTTTTTATCACAGATTTCTGCAAAACCAATTCTGTTTGTATCACAGATTTCTGTTATATCCATAACAGTCTGTAATGCTGTTGCTAATAGCAAAAACAAATTCTGTTTTTATCACATTTATGATATATCCATAATAGTCTGTAATGCTTTTGGTAATAGCATTGTTATAGATTAACTCTGTTTATATGCCTCCGCTTAACATTGACACTTTAACAGCAAGAGTGTATTAGAATATCGCTGTTCGCTTAACATTGGGCTGGGTTTAACATTAACATTCAAGATGTGCATTAGAGTCCTTCTGCTTACATGTGATTGCTTAAACTAACAGTGTTATAGATTACCTCTGTTAACAAGCCCCAACAATAATAATCAAGCACTTACAGTGTATTAGAATCTGTTTGTTAACATGAATTAGCTTAGTGTTACAGATTAGCTCAGTTCACAGGCATTTTTCCAACACTAATCCATAATCCAGTCATAACAGTTGCTTATTTTCTATTACTTTTATTTATTTTTGCTCTGCTATGTTAACGATTAGGAAAACGACTTATTATATAAAAGTAAACCCGCTTTATGGCAGCAGACAGCACATATCTTCGATTCAATTATTTGCCGCAGCTCTTGTAATTCTATTAAATTTACACAACTGGTCGACTTGTTGGCTGAAATTAGTTTAATGATCATTCGAAATGCTGTGCACGTAATTAAGTTAATTGCCAAACTATCTATCATTTCCTCATGATTAACTGCAGCGAATCATTAAAGATTATTAATTAATTTTTAATTGAAAGCAAACGCCGGCAGGCGGCTAATTGTAAACTGTTGAAGCCAGCGCCTAAAGGTCACTCCCATATGCTTTTTGATTAATAAATCTTTTTATTAGTTAACGCTGTTGTAATAATAAACAAATTACCTTTTATTGTAATAATTACCATTAAAACTGGCCCAAGCAATTGCAAAAGTTAACGCGCAGCTGACTGGGGATAGTTGTAAATTATCAGCGTCTGAAGTATTTACTTGAGAAATAAACAAAAAAGTGCATATATATATGTATATATATATGTGTTTATTGCCTTTTGATGAGCCGACGAGGTTTTGTTTTGTTGTCTTTTAGGCCACAAGGAAAAAAATAAAATAAAATCTGCATAGATTACGCGTATTATTTATCAATTTCTAGACGGCAGCGTGGGTAAAAACTTTGGTCATTAAATAAAATAAACTTTTTGCCGACTTTTCAAACATAGATTTATATATTTATATATATACAGTAAAGAAATGATGTTGACTTGCACATGACTTTCATGACATTAGAAAGTAAATTGCCATGAGGCCACTTGGTCAAACGGCAGCAACTAAAACAAAAACATCAGGCAAACAGCCAACAACGTGCATAAAACTTTATTACGAAAACGAGCAAAAAAAATTATTAAATAAATAAAAAATAAAAAAGAAAGAAGCAAAGCGTCAGATAAGCATGAAAATGTTTTATGCTTTTCTATTGAACTCTACAGCGGGGGCCACAATTGAAAGTCAACAGCAAGAGCTTTAAAAACTAACTATACTTATTATAATAATAATTATTAATTGCTTTGTGGCAGGTGGCCTGTGGCAACTCTCACAATTCGCTTTCTGATGCATTTTCCTTTATGCAATCCCGCTCGCCAAAGACACTTTCTTGCCTTTGTCGAAGGTGGCAGCCTGGTTAGTCTAATCTTATCATAATGTATGCCGATATTTCACCAGTGTACAAAGTCCAAAGCAAATTAGAAATAAGAGCTGCACAGCTTATGAATACCCTACAATTTGGAGTCTTGTTAACAAGCACGATAATACTTTCATCAAAATCTTTATTAACAATTCCCCATTTTAATCAATGTTTACTTTGACGTTTTCTTACTTGAATATTATATATATATATCGAAGCAGTTAATAAATATTGCGGTCGATTTATTGTTAAGTGCGCCACACTTAATCACCAATTAGAAATCCAATGGAAATTGACGCATTTCTGACTCATAGTTGATAAGAACTTTGATAAACAGAAAGCAAGAAATAAATAATATAGCAAAACTTGCAAAAAATTAAAATTGTCTAGGTAATATCAGGAAGTTACAAATTTTATAGATCCAATCTAATAGAGAAAATTATTCATTATTTGCGCATAAAGAAATTGTTACAGAGCAGCGGATATAATTGATAAAATCTCCACATTCCAGAACAACTGCTCTTTAAGCTAAAATGTCTAGGCCAACAATTGTTCTTAAGATTTGTATAACATGTTCGTAACATGCTCGCTTCAAGGCTAATCCATTCGGTCCATGCCAGAATCGAACTCAACTCTTTAGATGCGCTGATCCATCACGAGTAAACTACAATATAATTGCGCGCAATAATTTCGGCAGCTTGTTAAGATTGTTCACACATGTGCCTTTCAAATCGTAACGTCTGAAATTCCTGAAGACAATGCGTCGAGCACATGTTCCCAGGCCGCCAGACCTAAGCGTAACGATCGAGTCATAAATCAGGCATTAATAAATTTCAATCTACGCAAATTTCGACAGTTGAGAATCGGCAAATGGCCAAACATCTTTCATTCATTTGTTGAGCATAAAAGGCAAAAACAAAAAAATAAATACATTTGAAATTCTTTGCTAAATGTCAATTAATTATTAAGTGGAATCAACAAAAAAATGCCAAAAAAAAGAAAATACATTTTATTTTATTTAATTATAAAGTCGCGGCATGTTCCATGCATCCATGGAATTTTTATGTGCCCCAACTCGGGAGTCAGTTGGCGTGGCTGCTGCTGCTGCGGTTGCTCTTCTGACCCAGCCTACCTTCGTATATTGTGTTAACTCATTTCCTGCGAAAGTGATGGACAACAACTGAGAATTATGATATCATGCTGAGCTCATCTTTTGTACCCTCAAAACTGCAAAGCCTGATCCTAAACCAAGCCAGGCATGTGTAAGTTCAAAGTTTTTTACGGAACAAAATATACAAACAAAAAAGGTCTTAGTTCAAACACGGCAAAGTTAAAAGTTGTCAAGGCATAAGATACAACTTTATTTGGGGAGTAAACTAGTTTTTGGCATTAGATAAGGCTTCATAGATGAAACAGTTCTTTTCTTGTTATACAATCGTTCTTTGTATGAGAAATGTCATATGTTTTGTAAGAACTCTATTCTATTATATAAGTTGAGTCAATGGTTAAAGCGAGTTACAGAGTTACTTCTAGTTGAAAGTAGGTTTTGAATATCTCCTAGCTCTAGAAACAGACAGATTTTCTGCTAGTCAAAGCTAGTTAAGACTGCTATATGAAAAGTTGAAAGCTATCTCGTAGTTTTAGATAGTTATAGGGTGTATACTAATTAAAAGATGTCCATTGGATCTTAAATAATCGAACTTTTTGTAAGTTAAGTCAGATATTTATTGCATGTTTGGGGCGTAGCAATTACAAAAAACAATTCACAAATGTCAGTCACGCTTAATAAACTTTAAACGAAATTGCCGAGCCATGGAGTTCGTCCGGTCTGTGGTCAGTCTGAGGTTTGTCTCGCTCTGTAATCAAAAGCCGGCCGGTCACCACCAAAGGCCTCTCCGTCCCTCCTCAAACCCAACCGAACCATACCGTATCGTAGTGAACCCAACCCAACCCAACCCAACCAACCGGAGCACCTTGGACACTCAATCGCTGAGTCAACTAAAATTTGTGCAGGTTTTTCTTTTATATTTTTTGTTCAAAAATTGCATTTAATTGTTAAGCAAAATGCCAAGCACGTTATGGATAGAGTTATAGCCAAGACACTACTATATACATGTGTAAGCATTATTTTTTTTGGATCAGTTACATGTTGATACAATTGAAGCTGGTTCATTGACAACATGGATACCCTAGCTAAGTGGGCGTGGGCTTGATGAAAATGAGATTAAGATATATATAAAAATAATAATTAAATTGTATTAAATGGAAGATACATTTAAATATTAGCTGATATGACAGTAGCTATTCATCAGAATCCAAGTTCAAGAATCTTAACATTTAAGTTATTTATTTAAAGAGCAACTATCCATAATATTTATAGAAGTAATTCTATTCCACATTTCAACAAGGGATTGCGACTTTCTTAACTCTTAAAGGGTATCATCAAGTTGTTAACTTTTCATTGAAAGTTTAGTCATTTGCTTCCGTTGAACTGCTTGCCGTTGGTCATGTCAGGTGGCACACCCCACACCAGCCCACCCGAACTCACCCCATCGCCAATACACCATACACCACACACCTCGCAGCTGTCGGCAGCAGAGGCATGTCCGACTGTTTGCACAACATGTTTATATGATTGCTGAACCCGTTTCAAGTTTTATGTAGTTATTTTTGTTACAATTTCTGTTCGCTTTGGGTTTGGCCAATCAAGTGCGGAAGTGCAGAGCACAGAGAAACAGTGCAGCAGACAGTGAAACGGAGAGAAAGACAGACAGAGAGACGGACGGACTGACGGACAGACAGACGGAATTCGAACAGTTTGCATATTTAAATAATAAAAACAGCAATTGGAAAGGTAAACAATTTTGAGCTTAATCGTTACGACATTTAACGCTTTATTTATTTATTAATTGATCTCCAATGCGCTATAACTGTATCTTTAGTATTGTAGCATGTTAAGGCCTTTATCAACCTGAACTGACTTTTAATAATGCAATTTGGTTTTTTCTTACAGCTTTTGACAACAACAATCATCATACGCCGCTCGTCTCCGCCCATCGAAAGGTGAGTCTCAATGTTGTTTTATTTTTATATTTATTTTTGCCTTTTTACGGCTCGTTAAGAGTTTGAAATCTTTCACGTGTGTGTCACCACCGCCGAAACCACTAAAACCACAGACAGTTGAACTTTCCAAGTGCTTACCGATTAGAGATTAGAATTATGGCTCGTTAAATCTCCGTAAATGAGCTCAGTTCGTTCTATGAATGTAGGCAGTATCCATTTGATATTGTAGCGCCGCTTAAAGTTTTCCGGTTCAAGTTTTAATTAAGTTTTAATGATTATGGTAATATCAGATAGTTCTCCAAATGACTGAATCATGTGTGGCAATAGATTTGCTAAATTAAAGCGTTTGTTTGTCACTTTTCAATAAACTGACAAATCAATCGTAAGAGCTATTTTTAGCATTGAGGTGGGCGCTCATAATTGTCATAAAAATCGTTGTATTTATCTTGGATTGCAAAGAATATTTTCAGGAAATTGCAATGATAAAAATAAAATTGTCAATGGTTTTTTTTTAATTGATAAGAGTTTAATATATATTAATAAACTTTTGTTTAAAGGAAGCTAATATCCATTGATAACACTCATGGAAGCTGTGGGGTAGTCCCAAAGATAAGTCATAGACATCATCTATATACATTTCTCCAGATATAGCAAGGTCTATCTTGCATACAGTAAAATCAATCCTGTCTTACTTGAAAGCACCTCAAATTCCGCCCACAAACAAATAAAGAACCAAGACAAAATTCTCTTTTTCTGCATTATGTTTTATTTTTCCCAACAATCATAAATATGATTGAATATTTGTGCCAGCTACCCACATATTAAGAACCCTTTTCAGATGCTTATTAAAGTTTTTCCTTGCCTTGTTCTAATATCCCCCACACATTCATTTACTTCTTATAATTACAAGAATTTGAAGGTACTCGAAGAATGTGCAGGTTTTTTTTTTGTTCTCACATGTAACAAGACAATGGAATTGCCTTATGCTAAGCAGGGAGAATAGCGAACGACCTCCATTGAGTAGGCTGCATATTTCTCACATGCACACACCCATTACAGCAACAGCGATACTTAATTGAAAACCAGCAACAACAGCAGCAACAGCAACAACAACTACTGAAGCTAAAAGATACATTAAAATGAAGGCGTAGAGAAACTCGCGCTTCCATGTTACGAACTTCGTAGGCAGCAGCTGCGGCTGCGGCTGCTTTGTCTGTTGTAAATGCAGGCGCTGTGTGTTGATGTTGCCGTTGCTGTTGCTGTTGCAGTTGCGAGTAGTTTTAATTACCTACCAATCCAAGCCTGCCCCCAAAAACTACCAACAACAACTACTAACGATCATCATGTGAATTCTCTGCGCCTGCACATTTCCTCTCAGCCTGTCTTTAGGGCTTCCACTGTGGGAAACATTAGCCCAAAATGCATTCTTCGTGCCTCTCCCAAAAAGAAAAATACACTTTCGCACTTCGGTTCGGTTAAGAGATTGGGGAACGGAACGGAATGGAATGGGTCCCGCCGTAGCGTCTGTGTAAATTACCGTAAAATTGGTGGCTTACATCGCCAACAACCATCAACAATGCCAACAACAACTACAACAACAACAGCAACACTTTCACACATTATACCTTGGCAGCTGTTGTCCATTTTGTTTTATGGCCTGCTAAAAATTTGGATTTCTTTTATTTGAAATTTTCTGACGCTTTGTCACGCCATGTGGCAAATCTTTAAAGTGATATGGAAAGCGGTACTAGAACCATTTGGGAATTAGCTAAATTAGCTGGCTATTAAGCTATAGCATAGGTGTAATATAGGGTTAAATATTAATGCTTTTATAACATAAATGACTGAGAGCATAGAAAGAAGTCAGAACAATCTCTGAATAGGTGGTTGTAAATTGTTTTTATAATTATATATATTAATATATATATTTTTCTGTAACTTTTCAGTTTAGTATAAAAAATATATTTTTAGTTTTGAACTGTGATGTAATTAGCGTGAGAGTTTGGCTAAAGAGCTGTGAGATATCCGTATATTATTATATTTGCTCGGTAAGAGGCAGAGCTCTTTTTAACTCTGATTACCCCTATCTTTCGTCGACAATGTATCTATGATCTATAATCTTAAATTGCACATTCGTCAAAAGTCTTTTTCAAAGTTTTGTATGATTCATGGCTATGAAATTTTATCAAATTTTGTGATTGAAAGCTTTGCAGTCAATCAGCTTAGTTTATCAAATCTTTAAAATTTCATTACAATTGCTCACTAAAACAGCAAATTGACGCTTTTTGTTGACTATCCACAGTAATTTGCTTACTTTGCTATTGCAATTATACTATACCCCTTGCTCAAATACTTAAACTTCAAAAATAGTTTTCTCTAATTGCTCAGAGGCAATTTATTATTTGCCCAGCTCTCAATCGAATACGAAAATACACTTTAGGGTCTTACGGACTTTTATGGGTCTTATGCAAACACATTTCAACCCCAAAAACGAACGCCGTAGCAGACAGCCAGAGGGGTTAGAATTATGCCTCGTGTCCAGTACAAGCTAAATTGAAAAATATTTCAGCAATTATCATAAATTTAGTTTATTTTCGTTTTTTGTTTTGGTTGGGGCTGCTTTTTCCCCCACCCAGAATGCGCACTGCAATGCGCAAATTTCCATTTCATATGGTTTGCTTTTGGCTTTTTTTTTTGCGACTTGGGTGCGATTCGTTAAGCGTTTATTTTAGCAACAGCAATTGAAATTGAGTGGAAAAGGCATTCGAGGGTCTGACTTCGCTTAGACCTAGTGGAACTAGTGGGTTTTTGTTATTGTTGTTGCGCCGAGTGCCATCGTGTGCAGTGACATTTTCCGCTAAAGTGCACTTAAACATGTTTGACCTTTGCTTTTGGGCCAAATCGCTGTCAGATACATGACTAAAGTACTCGTTGCTTGGCCCGACTTATGCAATCGACAAAAATGACTTAAATGACAAAATCGACCAAGGCGCAAACTAAATGCGGAACTTGTGGCATCTACATATCATGTGAACATTACGATGCAAAATATTGATGATCGGGCTGTGGTAATAGCAGATAGATAGACAGCCAGTCAGACAGACAGACAGATAGATAGATAGAAAAGAGATATGCACTTATGCATGTTTATAATACTTAGTGGCCCAACAAATTGCTGGCAGTCTACTAACCGCAAAAGTCTTCATCAGGCAAAACCGCTTTAAAAGCTGCCTGCGAGTCGGTCGTCTCCTGGTTTTCCGGATTGGCTCGTGATCAGCTAACTGCCTGACTGCCTGACTGCCTGACTAACTAGCTGACTGACTGTTGCTCTGTCTGTCTGCCTGCCCGGTCTGGCCTGGCAGCTTGCTTTTCAGTTTGATATGTGGAAGCTGTTACCAGGAAGTTACCTTTTGCGGTTGCCAAGCAGCCAAAACAGCAGCAGACGAGAGCTAAGGTCGCCCAAATGTCGCAGCTCTCCATGCCCAAGCCCATGGGTGGGTGTCGCTGAAAGACTGCAGAGAACAGCTTCTTGAGCGCTGAAGAATATTGTGTACCCTAAGTTTTAGAAATTTAAGAGCTTGAGTTTTCCTGATTATAAATAAATGTATGCATTAAGCGGCCACAGGCGCCAACTTGATCAGAAAAAGTGCTTAAGCAGTTGTCAATTTATTGATCTAAATACCAAGCATCAATATGACCAATATAGTATATTAATATTATGGACCATTCACTTCATGATCAAAATCATATTAACCCTCGGCAAGGGCGTAAATAAAACTCTCTGTGCCCCTTCGCCAAGCGCTCTGGATGCGCCTCGTCGCACTCGAGTGCATGCGTAAACCTTCAAAAATGAAGCAGCCGTCGGTGGAAAAAGGGCTTGCCACTGGGTCGTCCAATGCAGTGCCTTAAATGGCATTTGTAGAGCTGGCAGCTTGTGCTATTTGTAGTTCAATTTACAATAAACCAATAAAGCATTGCATTGACTGACACATAGACATTGTGCGGGAAGTTTTGTAATTGGTTTATAGGTTTTTCGTCATGGGTGCGGCTGCCTTTTTGGCTAAACTTGTGACCCGCAGCGGTGACAATTTGACATTTGAGAGGAAACAAAATAGGATTACTTTTCTACACATTTGACAGCTCTCATAAATTGGGCTAGGCATGTGTTGGCGAATTGCCAAAGATTTCCCCAAAAAGGGCAGGGCGAACACAAAATTAAGTAATTAAAATGCTGATAGGGTTATGACCATATCTGCGCGAGTTACTTTTAAATTATTATCTGTCAGATTAATTGATTTTTTAGGCGACCAGGAAATGACCATAAATAGCTTAAGTCCTATTATAGTCGATCGCAACTGCAGATTAAAGTCCATCAGGCTTCAAATATTTTATAACTAAACTGTTCTTTCCCGTCTATTAAGTCCTATTTGTATGCACTTAATTAGCTAGGTATTTTAAAATTATATAATTGCTACTAATTGCCGAGCTCTGCTGCATGTTTATTTATACAATAAAGTCTAATAGACTCGACTCTATTTCAAAGGCTAATTACATGTTAGTTATACTATAATTTACAAACTTTTTTTTATCTCTGTAGCCGTAAGACTTTGATTCTAATCTCAAGTACACATAATCCATATATTTATACTTCCACATTACATTTCGAGTGTCACATGTGCATACAAGTTTCATGTTTGGCTTTTCATATCTGTAGCATAGATAAAACACGAGCATGAAAAGCCATGGCCTAAATTGTCTTTGCCAGCTATCAGTTGACAGTTGAACTGTAGGACAGTGTAGCCTATGCTATAGCTCTAGGTGATGAGTTACATTCGTTGTGATATTTTACAAACTAAGTGAGTTCTTATAAAAGGGGAGAGAGAGGTGAGGGAAGAGGTGGGAGAAGAGAGGTGAGAGAAGAGAGATGAGAGATGAGAGATGAGAGATGAAAGATGAAAGACGAGAGACGAGAGATGAGAGATGAAAGATGAGAGATGAAA